CAAACCTGTATCTTATAGCATTTGAATACTTTCGGTCATATAATATGGCATTACTCATAGGAAATACATTCTGTATTATCAGAGTTGACTCCAATTTATATCATAATGAGAGAGCAGAAAAAGTAATTCACAGTGCAAGCTGTTTCATGAGAATTACTGTTGCAGGAAAAAACATAAAATGGAAAACTTAGTCAACACATGGTGTAAAAGGAGACTGAAAAAGACTATCGTTACAAATGATGCTTCCCGATCTCCACCTCAAACTAATGCCAGTTTCTGCGTCTTTTACGCATAAAAAGGCGCGAATAATGGTGTTTAATGTTTCAAGCGAGGCGGCTTGCGTGTGGTTTGCGCCCGTGTTCAAACAACATTTTCACGCAAAATCTTCTTTACCTGCTGCATATTCTTTTCTTCTGCATTCTTAATTGCTTGTAGAGGGATAATTAGAATACCTATCATTAAAAAGAAACGTGCATGTTTTGGTTTTCGTATTGACTAAAAGGATTTATTCTTTTTCGTTTTACCCTTTTATAAGGATTTGAAGCTAGTATCGACAAATACTATATTTGACTCTTTCCTTATACGAAGTAATACAAGGAACACATTTATGTGGATTTCATTTATTTTTCTATTAGAATCATTAGAAAATTTCTTTAGAAATTGTATTAATAACTATTTATGTTTATCTCATTGAGAAAATACTTCCAGCAGGAAATAAGGCATACCCTTCCTTTAATATTACGTCATATTTTCCCAGCAATAAAGAAGAATTATCCAATTTTAAGGCATAAATTGCATAAAATAAATTATTTTTGCTAAAGCCTCGGTTTATACAATTTATTGAGAGTAATAAGACACAGCACACTCGCTCTTACCTAATTCTAGTTTATTCAAAGATTAATAATTTCAGGGTATTTAACTAATATGCTACTCTTTAGCCAATGAGAAATATTCTCGTAACTGTTTTATGCAGCTTATCAAGGAAGTATCATGTAATTGCTATGCTCTTCAGAAAGAAGGGATGTGGTAGTAAAATACACCTAATGAAAGCTTTATGCGTATTAATAATACGTAAGAAATTCTTAAAAATATGTTATAAATATATTAAGAATTATTCTGTCAAAACTCTACATCGAACAGAATAGGAATTCTTGATCCCTCGAGTTTGAGCCAAGTGTTCTTATAGAGAAACCCAAGAGATATTCCCCCTTCTTTGCTTTCTTTTAAATTCGCTGAGATTCCTTAGCCGGGAGGAGGGTGTGTTCCAGTCCATTTGCAATGTGATGGGCGCAAGATAATAGATACATTTTCACTGGCGCCAAGACATCTCGAATCCTAGACGAGAACTCTCCAGATTGAGTTATCTGTATTATTTTTCTTCAATTTTTATTTTTTCGTAAATGTACAGTAATATATAAACAAAGATGCTGGAAAAGGGATGTACGTTAGGAAAATTGAAATTCGCCTTTAAATTGAAATTAATGAAAATTTAGGGGATAAGAAGTTTTATTAGTAAAACGTATTTCAGGATTATACCATTGAGGGGGCATCGTTAATAATCTTTTTAGATGGAACAGGCCCATATTTGTGATACACATTAGGAAACAAAATCACCAAAATAAGCATTTAACTATGCCTTTCTGATATACTACTGCATTCACAGAACAAATCTGCTTTTAAAATACAAAACCGACGTTGGCAAAAGAATATAAAAGTAAAAAATTGAAGGAATCTAGCAGGTAAATTGCTATGAAAGCAATACAAACTTTTCTTGTTAATCCACTCTTCGGATGTCTTAAACTATGAAAAGTTATCTAGATATATCGATTAGGTTGCTATTTCATAAATTCATACTACATAAATTCTATCTCAAAAAACAGTGCCTTCTTCAAGGCAATCTTTTTGTTTTTGTACGTCTGTCGTCAAAATCAAATTTTTCTGGTAGCTCGTTATTTTATAGTAATTAACTAATCTGAACTCCTAGCTGCAGTTTTGAGTCCCGCGTAAATATAAATGTATGGTTTTCATTTTTGCAAACTCTACTCTTTCATTCTGCGTCTTGATTTTTTGCGGAGAATAACATACGATGAACCATTACGTAATTTCACTATTTCCTGGTACTTCTTTTATGTCATCAGTCCAATGATGTCACTAGAATATTTTTTATGAAGGTCACTCGTAGAATTCTGGTTTTCGTTGGAGAGTCTTATAAGAAGATACAAGGTACATGGCTAACATCTGGTCTACAGAGCTCGAGTGCTGAGCCATTGTAACGCCGATTTTATTTTTAAGAATGACAAAGGAATAAATTATTTCATTGATTCCAAATATTTTCCTCCATAAATATGCACTTATTTGTCAACAGTTACTAAAATATCTTTATAAAAATATTCTTATATTTTCTAAAGCAAACAAATGCTGGGGGATTGACATCAATAAATCCGAAAATAATTATTTTTAATATATATCAGAATTAATGTTGTGCTTTCTCATTACCCTTTTTTATTCGGTCTGTGTCATTTAATCTGATTTTATTTTTATGTATCATTATACATTTATTTTGCACTCTAAATATATCATTGAATATCTCAAAAGCATGACAATATCTTGTTGTGACACCAACCTTCTGATGAGATGTTACGGGAATGGAGCACTTAGTTTTGCTTTACTTGATCTTGCGTCTGTGTATTGCTCTATAGTTGTAATTTGACTTTTGTAGTGTTAATATTTTGTCTGATTTTTTACTGCGTAGATTTTACTTAAGTGCTCTTTCGGAAAACATATAAATTTTGTTTTTGCATTTTAGTAAGTTTCTTATGTGCAAGATGATTATAATTAAAGTTCCAACTTTAAAATGTTGTATATTAATAACATCTTGTCAGAATGTCATGAAATTGAATTTGAATGTGTGTGAAGCAATAGGAATTTCTTTGGAAAATGAAAATTAATTAATTCCAGATTGCACCGACAGAACTCTAAACTGCACAGCTCAAGGAAGTTATAATCAACTAGTTGTAAACTGTATAACTCGAGCAAGTACTAGTCAAGCACAGGAATGTTGTTAATTGCAGGGAAACAGTGGTTAGCTAGAAGAGAATGATGAACCAATTAACAATACATGACTTAATAATTCATAAAAATATCGCAAAAAAAGAAACAAGCACATACAATTAGTTCAGGGGTTTATTACTTATTTCAGAGGTTATTATTTAATTTAGAGATAGAAATGGGTTCAAATGTTTTCAAAATATCCCATGATCATCCACTCTTCCCTTTCACCGAGCAAGTAATTGCAAGACAAAAACTTCTCATTGTCACAGTTCATCAGGAACCAGCTCCTCAAAATGTCTAATTGATAGCATTGCAGGATATTTCGTAAAACTTTACAAGCCGTATTGGCAGACATGTCTAACGATCCGGCTGTGCCCTGTGTACTTCAGGTTTACATATAACTAACTACTTTTCTCTTTCATTAATGCCGAAGCCACATCTTCTACTGACGTTGAAGCAACTGCTTTCCTCCGTCTGCGAGGGCTTCGTGCCCAAAGCACCAACCACTTCGAATTTAATAATTATATTCTGCAGGCCATTTCCAGACATCTGACTAGATTTTAAACACTTTAACGTCCGGAACTCCATAAGAGCAGTTAACGCGCAGTCATCGTTCTAGCAAGAAGCTTCACGAACAGAGCTTGATTCTTCAGTGACAGAGTCATGATGAGTCAGATACAGAGTAAGTAATACGAACGTAATGAGCAGAGCGTGATGCGAATTAATTTTGCTCGCAACCTAGCAGCTAATTTTTCACTTTCGGTAAGCAAAGTCCTCGCCTCTTATGACTATAAAGCTGAATTTTAGTTAAATATTTGTTTTTCACTTTTTAAAGAAAACTTTATTGTTTATCTTTCATTCAGGTAATTTTAAAGAATTTTCCTGATTTTACAGCGATTTCAAATCGGAACTTAATTACGTGCGTATACAGCGGCCTGGCGATTTTACAAACACGAACGATCCCTGAAAAGTTTGTAAAATCGAGACTCTGTGAATGGGATTGGCATTGAAAATCGCATTCACTTTTTTTTTAAGGTTTGGGGGAAACATCGATATTTTTACCATCCATGCATACATTTCACTAAGTTTTCATGTAGACCCTAAGAAGCTAATCTATCAAGCAAAAGAAGAACAAGAGTGATTTTAGAAATTCTTGATTATTTGGTCTCCCCCCACACACACACGTGCGAATACCTCCCATGCCTATAGGAATAACTTGTAAACTCAATTATTATTTAGGAAAAACGAGTTCGTTTCTTTCGGCTGCCATGATACATATAAGCTGCGTTGATAAAATTTCGATTATGGCAAAAATATTTTACTTTTTCCTTACTGACTTAAAATTTAGGTGTCGAAAGTTTTGAAAATTTCGTCATTCAATTTCGGAATTCTGCTTTTCGGAATTTTTTCTTTTGAAAAGGAATAATGAAAATCATGAAGACCATAAATTTGGAAAAATGGGTGAAGGTTTAATTTTAGTTATTTTTCCTGAACTACCTGGATAGTTCATAAAAATAAACAATTTTAAAAATTGCTCACACATAAAAACGCTAATACGATATATCTATATATCTTTATTTTATTTATGTATTGGAAACTAATTGAACATTGTTGCCTCAAAACATATTGATTTTAAAACTCATGCAGATTCGCGAGGAGAAAGGATTTCTTTTAGTTTTTGCTTGTTGAATTGAAGCATCTACTTCATTCTCCCACTGTATTTAATAACGTCACTCTTCCTTCTTCATAATTCTCAAAGTATGACATAAAACACATGTAAGATTTAGCTCTTGTGAATTATTTACATTTTTGGAAATATTTAAATAATATTAATGAGTATAAATAAAAGCAAATTGAAATAAAATATTAAGTAATTTGTATACAAATGAATTTATATTTATTGCAAGGATCTTCATGTTTCCTAATAAAATGACTTTATATCTTTGCAGGTCTTTTTCAAATTGCGGTGAAAATAAAAGTGCATTCAGAAATAACAGATTGGAGGCATAAATTTCTTCATTTTTTGCTTTCTTAAGCAAGTGATTCATGAAGTGATATCGTCGAAGGAAATATGAGGTGAAACGAAATAATACGTTATTTCCCCTCAAGGGAATTTTGCTGTGGTGTAGTTCATAAATAAACAAAATGGCACAAATATGAATGACTTGGAATTTAGGAGTGAGATATTTTTGCCTCAAGGATATTGAAATATGAATACAAGTTGGACATTTATTGGAGATTATATTTGTTTAAGTAAATCAAAAAGGCAACTGCAACGCCATAGCTATGATGCAGGTTAAGTTCACAGTTTCATGTGATATTTTTTTTATTTAACTTGAAAGGTGGGTGCTGTTGTATATGCTTTTTCTTATGAATATTTTTATTTGTACTTGCAAACAAATTACTTTTAGTTTAAAAATTTGATATTAAGAAAATGATATAAGAATGTTTTGATAGTTTCCTTTGAAATTTTCTGTACAATGTATTGAAAATTACCTTTCGTCATAAATGCTGTAATGTACTTTATTGAAATGTAAATGAAAATGTATATAACTATATAATTTCTTTACGTTGTAGACTTAGGCTCATACTTTCACTATGCATGTTTAAGCTAGTTTTAGACTTATTATCTATGTCAGTTTTTTTTTTCATATGTTAGTATATGATCACAGAATATGATCATAGTCATGTAATATATATGAAACGATACGGATAAAAGTATTCTGTATTCTGTATAACGTAGAACTATGTAAAGAAACTATATGTACTCTAAGGAAGTCGACAATATTTATTTATTGCACCTTCTTTCAGTACTTGCCGTATCCTGGTAGAATAAAGTAGTCTCATATCCTGTAAAGCAGAAACAAAATCTAATCGATATAAGGATGGATCTCTTCTACGAGACTAATAAAGACTATCAATTTTTTCAAAGATGCATATTCATGTAATTTAAAAAATACTCGGAGAAAATAAACAATAAAGAAAAACTGGAGAATGTTCCAGCTAAATGACAGAAAACGAAACCATTGGCACTATTTCAGAAAATGGATGATACGGAGAAGACAGCCGCAAATGTTAGTTGGAAACAAGTAAGAGGAAAAAGTGTGACGCATTTCAGAAGAGGCGTGGGAGAATGTCAAAATGGTTTATTTTCAATTAAAATCTTACCTGCTTATTGGTTGAGATGTGCCTGCATCACAGCGTTATCTAAGATGGAATGATACAGATTAATTTAAAATGACGCATTTTAGATTGATACATTACAAATAGTTACTATTTTTAGTACAGAAAGAGGAAATACCCAAATTAAAATGAGCTGTTGCCAGTTGAAATCAGGATTGCTTTGCATATTTTTATCTTACATTTCAATGAGAATGTTATTATATTTATGATGCTAAAATGCAAATTATACATATGAACATTAATTACGTATTAAAATTTTGCAATTTGTTATTATTTAAAATGAATAATCTTTGAAGAAAATTTTCATATTTGTATTCTTCTTTGAAAAGGTTGAAAAAGCTTCCCTGAATAATCATAATCGCCATCTGAGGTTTCTGAAAATAAGAACGTTTTAAAATTAGACTGCATAATGAAAATATAACTCTAAAATTTGCATTTATTCTCAAAAATACAGTGCTTAATATTTATGTTCTATATTATTCTTAAACTTAGTAAAGAATTTCATGATTATGTTTCCCATATTATTTTACTCTTCCAATGCTTTTACTCTTTTTCTTTTTTTTTCTGTCGCTAAGTTTTTTTCTCTTTGAGAGGGATGGATTTGTAAGATAAAAATATGTCAAGCAAACTTCTCATTTAATTGGAAATACCACCCTTTATTCTTTATTTTAATTTTGTCATTCTCTCTTTTTAACCTAACATAGTAACTGTTTATAATACATCAATCCAAACTGCGTCCTTTGAAATTAATATTTAATTTTTAGACCAAAACCGTTTTGACACTCTTTTACGCTTCCTCTGAATTCGTCTCTCTTTTTCCACTTACTCCCAACTAACTGTCTTCTCTGTATCATCTATTGTCTGAAGATGTGCTAAGCTTCCGAAAATATGGTGTGCGTATTACTTCCATAATGATGTGGATCAGAATTTTTGTCTCAAGAATTGCTTTATCCGGTAATAAAATTATGTTGTATTAATTACTACAATTGTCTGCAAGTTCCATCGACTAAGCAATTACCATTCTCTATGCCAACACCATCTGCAACCATCAGCCGTGATTAAAGGGTATTTGCGTCCTCTCTTCCGCATTCCTAAATTACTACGCACACATGTAATATATATTATTTAATGTTTTATATATTGCAACGCACGTTTGAGTTGTTTTAACAAATGGTATGCATTTGGACATTCCCTGTGTTTATTAAACAAGAGAAAATAATTTTTAATCAAATAAAAAGTGGATTGTGTCACAAAACATTGGTATATATGGGCTCTGACAATTTTATATAGAGAACTATTATCGACATGAGCTCTTATGTCAAGGTCTCGAAACCTGGACATTTCCAATACGCGTTGAGTGTGCTTCCAATTACATCACGAAGGCATGCGGAAATAAGAGAAGAAATACCTTATATACTCCCCCTTTTAAAGAGCTACTGGCGATGTGGGGCTCACTCGTCAAACCATGGTAGTGAAGAATTATCATTCACCACCTCTTAGTTCAAGCACCACATGCAGAGTCATTAGGGTTGCAGAGACATTAGTTTTTTTTTTTTTTTTTTTTTTTTTTTTTTTTTTTTCCGGGCGGGGGGGGGGGAAGCAGGCAAGATGAAAAATTAGCAGCGCCTTCGCAGGGAATCGAACTGCGGATATATGAAATAAGCGCCCAGCCTGCAGACCACCACACCATGAAGGCATGTCAAGAAGGCGGGAGAAATACTTTATATAATATTATATAATACCTTATATTATATTTTAAAGGCGGCTGGGGTTTTTAGGGAACCCAATCGCTAAATCCTGGGTGAGGAGAATAATCATCGAGCAGCCTTATAGTTCCGGCGCCACTGCAGAGCATTTTTTTTGGAAGCAGAAGAGATGAAAATTAGCAACGCCTTCGCCAGGAATCGAACCGCGGACCTTTCAATTACGCGCTGAGGGTGCAGACAACTACACCACGAAGGCTCACTAAGAAGGAGGGAGAAATGCCTTATATACCCCCTTTTTAAAGGGCGATTAGTGTTTTTAGGGGATCAAATAGCCAAATCCTGGGTGGGGAGAATCATCATCCACCACCCTTTTAGTTCGGGTGCCACTATAGAGACATTAGGATTTTTTTGAAGCAGGCAAGATGAAAAATTAGCAACGTCTTCGCCGGGAGTCGAACCGCGGACCTCTGTAATACACGCCCAGCGTGCAGACCACCATGCCACGAAGGCATGTCAAGTAGGCAGGAGAAATACCTTATAGGGTTTTGAAATAGGAGACGTGAAAAATGTGACGTGAAAAACCTGGATCTCTCGAATAGCGTCGATTATGTTTCTAATTACACCACGAAGGCATACGAAAGGAGGGAGGAAATACCTTATAAATCTTATAAATAAACTTATAAATTTATTGGTTGATTTAATGAAAGGAAATCATATAGGGAAAATCTACCAATGGATGAATGTTACGAAGAATATTGAAAAGAAAAAGAATTTTCACATACGCAGAAAAACATGAAATTGCTTATGCAACTAACACGTTCAAACATGATTTAGATCCAGGTTTATTTACCAGTGTTCATTGGTCTTATCCTTTTGACGGGCAGAGGATAATTAAGTTTAAATCTATAACTATGTATTAAAAGACATGAGGAAATACCAAGGAAAATTAATCTAAGAAAACCTGTAACAGTTATTATGGACTACGCTTTTTATTGTTTTCGATGTAATAATTAGTCTCTATGTGGTTGTTCTTTTAAAACAATTTCCTTTTAAAAATACAATCTTCATTCCACATTTGATGCCTTATTTTGGCCACCAACAATTCAGGGAATGGAACCGATAGACACTGGCAGTTCATGCCAGAGAAAAGTTTGACAGCATATGACTTTAATTGTTTTCTCATGTGTTATGTGAATACGAAACTGTTTATCTTACTAATTCCTCGACGAAGTCCTTAAGGCAGAGTCATCGCGAATCTAGCCAAAAATCAGTTACCAACTAACCGCTTTTGATTTTGTGTACATCTGTGATACCATGTTGCTGTCCGATTTCAAACCTATTCTCACACTGTTTTCTAAATCTTCATCGATACCTTAGCTTGCAGCACCATCGCTTTACTTCAGAATATGCCCCCAAAACATTAAACTAATGTATACCATAGAAGTGCTTTCTGTGATCTATAATTGCAATTAGAATGAAAGACGAATAAATTTTCGTTAGAAGCTCCTCCAGGGCCAAAGGTGATGGATGGTTATTCATCTCCTTAGGTAGGCAGTTCTCATGTATTTAGCCAAAATTAGTTTAACAAATAAAGGAAATTAAAACAGGCATAAGCAAGAGACAGTATATAATGTAATCGCTCACACAAATGCTTGGTGGTGTCGTAATTAAATTACAATTTCTCCTGAATACTTTACTGCAACAGATTGTTGAAGAAATATATATATTAAAAGAAGCAGCGCCAGCCGTATGTATGAACTTGGCCTCTGTTTCCTCAACACTTGTCGCAGCTAGTAAAAGTAAATCGACAAAGGATTTAAGCGAATGACAATGTCCTCTTCGAATTTATCTTGGGGTGTTTTAAAGATTGTGTTGCAGCCATTTTAACATGCTTTTATTTTCAATATAAATTCGGTACCCAAGCATATTAAGATAATTTTGAATATATTTTCCTTGTTTCTAATGCAAAATTTCAGTTATGATCATATCAGTTCTGCATTCGTTCTGCTTGTAACTTCCTCTGTATGGCTTAAAGGCATTAGAGAAAAAAAGGTTTTTTTAGTTCCATTAATAATTGCATATAAATTCTTTATGCTTGACAAGCAGAACTTAAATTATTATTTCCTACGCTATGAATGGAATAAGTTTCTGTGAACAGCACAAGTGTTGCTTTAAAAGTTTCATTTGATATGTTTGCAACGCTTTGAATTTACAGCTTTCCTTTTATATAAAGCATAAATGTTCGTACATTTGAAGTTACATTGCCATGCGAAAGGAATTTTTGGCCAGTTGCTGTTTCCGTAACTAACATGCGTCATAGTATAACTAGTATGAGTATGTTTCTAACTAGTATGTGTCCAATAAAATGTTTCTAACTAGTAAGGGCCAAATAAAATGTTTCTTGCTCGGATGTGTATGCAGGCTAGAAATGTTACAAAAGCTGCTTTTATGTT